CTGGTGTGGCCATGCCTGGAGTACTGTGTTAAATTCCAGGCTCCCCAGTACAAAAGAGGCATGGACATACTGGAGAGAGTCCAACGAAGAGCCGCAAGGATGATGAAGGGGCTAGAGCATCTTCCCTATGAGAAAAGGCTGAAAGAACTGTGACTGTTCAGCCTGGGGAAGAGAAGGCTCAGGGGGATCTCATCAATGTCTATAAATACCTGAAAGGAGGATGCACAGAAGGCAGAATATTTGTACCAAGAAAAAGCAAAAATGGGAATCCTTGGAAATGGCCCATTATAGACCAGAACACTGAACATAAGGACTTTGTGTGAAACAAACTGGAAAGAGGTAAGGAGAGACATATGTGTTTTCATGTCAGTGATGAAATGACAGGAGCTATTGCTTTTTGATACTCAGATGAGCAAAATGCTGTCCAGGATCTAATGAAATGTGGATGCCATATTCATACTCAAGGTGATTTCTAAATGTGCTCTTAAATATAAACCAGTGATATAAACCCTGGAGGAATGCCAATCATCTGCCAATCAGGCAGGATTACAGGCTACAGACAGACAGATGGCAACATAATTGAGTTCTACCAATGGCTTATTAAAACATCACACAAAGTAATCACCTGGCAAGCGAGTACCTGAGTAAAAGTTAAATACAAAGTGTTATAAGAAGCAGAAGTAAAAAGCAGTCAGATGTAGGGAGAAGGGTTTTTAGTGTCCTGCATTTCTGCAGTTCTGGTGTCCTCATATGAACACAGAGGAAGGGACAGGAATAATAAAAAGTATGGAATGATTTCTCTGTAAGGGGAGATTAAATACAGTAGGACTCTTTAAGATGGAAAAGAGATAGAAGAGAATGAGTGATCTGTAAAACCAGGAATGACTTGGAGAACTTAAGTGCAATAATTACTGTTAGATTGCAAAACTAGGGGTTAAATATCAAGTAGTAGGCTCAAAGGCACACTTTTTTGCACAACGCATAATTGAAGTTCAGGACTCACTGGGATGGTCTAGAAGCCAAACAGAAAGGACTGCAAAAGAAAAAGATTCCATAGAGAAATTAAAGGAAAGTCCCTCAAGACTTAAGCTAAAGAACTAAAGATAGCTAAAGATGTCAGAACGAAAGCTAGCTGACATCTGTGTGGTGGGACTGTGTAGCAAAACACTATTTCTGTATATTTTCCTCTATTTTTGTTCCCTAAACAAGTGTGGAAAATTAGCCATGGATTAAACTGAGGTTTAGCCAGACCAAGCAGGTCAGCTATTCTATTAAGAAGCTAATAATCAATTCTTTGCTTGATTTAAGTAGAGAAAAAAAATAAAATAAATCCTGAAAACAGCTCCTATAGATTTCAGGCTTAGCTTTTAATAAAAAAACCCAAACAATAAAAATGGATGAAGTGGGTATTGTACTGCATCTGGCCTTGTTCTGAACCAACACGAGTTGAATCCATGATTTCTAAGAGGCAACTTGTATATGTTGTTCAGAAGATGAAGCCTTGGGTAAACAAGCATTTGGTGACTGCAATATTCACATCATGAAGTACTTTTGCATTGATGGATGGGTGACTAGGATTTAACCAGATGTTTCCATTAAAGTAAATCCTTCTGTTCTTACCAAAGAGGAACAAAATGCATATTACAAAGTCACAAATATCCATCACATTATGGCAGCTCCTATGTTTTTTGGATATTCATTGGTCACCACTGGTTACTTAGATACTTCGTATAATTTTTTTAAGCCTATCAGAAAAACCTCTCTAAACATGTAATAAACGTCCTTCTGGACGAAGAAGCTTTGGTGCCAGCAGCAGCACATAGTAGAAACAAATCATTTTCCATTGGGCAGGATGTGAAATAAAGATGTATTATATCCTTAATGTATTTCAACACCTCTATAGGATTTACTGTGAGCCAAGTCCTGAGATGCAATGACAAGGGAGAAGAAATGAATACTCTTAACTGAGTAAACATTCTGAATATATATTAATGACCTGATACATTTTTCTCAGCAAACTTTGGCACTGTTAGAAACAACGGAGAATAAAGTATATCCAAGATTATAAAGAAAAGACATACACGCTGTGTAAAGTCTTGATACAAGCATTGTAACTAGTGACTCAGTTCCTTAAATCAGTAACCTGCAGTCACAGATTGCTGACTGAGAACCCTTTTCCAAGACAAATTTGAGGAAGCCAAGCAGTAGCTCAATCACATGGCTCATTCTTTTTCATTAATGTTTGGAGGACTGTGGTGTCTGGAAATACATGTTGCCAATTGAAAATGAGTATCTTCCCCATTGGAACTTATTAATTGTAGATAAATGAAGGAATGATGCATGTCTGAAGCTGACTGAAGCTTCCGAGAGGCTCAGAATATTCCCACATTTCTCCTGTGTAGAGAAAAGACAAATAATTTTATCATATGTTTTCATTGCAAAAAACCAAAAGATGTTCTGTTTAAGGAAGCCAACAGCTGGAAACTATGTCAAATCAGCCATAGATGTAGGCAGAACCTTGATAAGTTTTGATAAAAATCCCTAATATATGATTCTCATGAAAGGTAAGTTAAAGGGTGGGTATCAGGTGGAAGATGAGTCTCCAAGTGTTCAAAATTCACAAGAGACTATGCTTGCTGGAAGAAGGTTCTATCAAAGGGTGATCCATTTGGGTTAGACAGTGTAATTTCAGTTGAAAATCCTTCAGAGCATTATGTCTTTCTTCAATATAGGACAACTAGGACAACACTCCATCCCTTCTCCCCATGCCCCTGCAACCAGCTCTATATTATGGTCTTCAAATAACGAAAATTAAAGTTCATGGAGTTATAAAACCTTTTACTGCATAAGTCTAAGTCTTAATTTCAGAGGAAAGGTTTAGAGAGTAAGCATTCTGAATATCACTTCAGAGTAACCTCGAGCTCTGATTACAGCTTTGATTACAGAGTATGGCTGAAATCTGTTTTAGCACCTTGTACAACTGACTTCTAAAGATATAAAGCAAAAAAATCTAAGGATTTACAGGAAATATTGCTTTATTTTAATATGAATAGAAACATTTACTCATAAACAGAGGATTTCTAAACTGCTGCTTTGCACTGTTTCACACTGTCTGCATTTCCCCAACGTTTATTTTGCTTATTAGTGAAGCTGTTAATAAATATCCTTATCTACAAGAGTGCACAGAGAAGATGCAGTGGTCCTGTAGAATCTACAAGAAGTGGAACATCAGTTCCAGGACTACAGGTAACATTTGGTAACTCTAAATAACTCTTCTTGTTCTGACAGTTGATCCATCATTAACTATGATTCTCACAAATGTCCTTTTGAATCATCTCTTGTTTCACATAGGTATAATAATTTGTGCCTGTTGAAGTCGATTGTCTTTCAGGAGGCCAAACTGCAAATCTCTTGAGAAGCTGAGCTGTCAAGCACTGCTGTACTCTTTAACTCCTACCCTTGTTTTCAGCCTTCAGTTATTAATCATGGCTGTATGCTTGCAGTGCCCTGTCCGAAGCCAGGCTCCCCAGCCTTACAGAGGGCAGCAGATGTTGGCAAAGCTTTATGGGGCCACCTGACCTGGAACCACAGCAGACACAAGCAGCAACAGTAATTCCCATAATGCAGCCTGTGCTGATCCAAAAGCAGCTGCTCCTGAATGGCTCTGAAGGTTAAAAAAATACGGATACAAGTTAATTTTCTAGTGCTGGAAGGCAAACACAAATTAGCCATGATTTGTGCTTCATAACCAAATGAGCTGTCGCACATGGCAAGGGACCAGCTGCATGTGTTACATCAGGCCTGCTGCTCTCTCCCAGGGGTGATCATGACCCACAGATGGAAAGCTATCCAGAAGGACTTGGACAGGCTCGAGAGGTGGGCCCATGTGAGCCTGATGAGGTTCAATAGGGCCAAGTGCAGGGTCCTGCAGCTAGGTCGGGGCAACCCCTGTTATCAATACAGGCTGGGGGATGAGGGGATTGAGAGTAGCCCTGAGGAGAAGGGTTTGGGGGTACCGGTGGGTGAAAGATTGGATATGAGCCAGCTTCAGTGCGTGCTTGCAGCCCAGAAAGTCAGCCGTATCCTGGGCTGCATCAAAAGGAGCGTGACCAGCAGGTCGAAGGAGGTGATCCTGCCCCTCTACTCTGCTCTCGTGAGACCTCACTTGGAGTATTGTGTGCAGTTCTGGTGTCCTCAACATAAAAAGGACACGGAACTGTTGGAACAAGGCCAGAGGAGGGCCGTGAGGATGATCAGGGGACTGGAGCATCTCTCCTGTGAGGAAAGGTGAGAAAGTTGGGGTTGTTCAGCTTGGAGAAGACTGCAGGGAGACCTTCTTGTGGCCTTTCACTTCTTAAAAGGGGCCTATAAGAAAGATAGGGAGAGACTTTTTAGCAAAGCATGTTGTGATAGGACAAGAGGTGATGGTTTTAAACTATAAGAGGGGAGATTTATGCTGGATGTGAGGAAAAAAGTAAAATGAGAGTGGTAAAACACTGACTTGGTTGTGGTTTGGAGTGGGTGCCCAGAGAGATGGTGGATTCCCCATCCCTGGAGGCATTCAAGGCCAGGCTGGCTGTGGTTCTGGACAACCTGATCCAGCTGAAGATGTCTTTCCCCATTGCAGGGGGACTGCACCAGATGAGCTCGGAAGGTCCCTTCCAACCCAAACTATTCTTTGATTCTATGATTCTCTGAGGGTGGCTGGAGGTCTGCAGGAACCATGCACTGCCACAGCAGCACGGCCGGGCCAGGAGGCACCGAGGAGGCACAAGGAGGCTCTGTGAGAGTGAGACTTGGAGGTGTTAAGGGGGAGAACCTCCAGCAGTGGAAGCCATTGGAAGGTGGCTGCAGAGCCCCGCACCAGCTGGGATAGGCTGTGCAGTGCACAGGATCAACTCTGGGACTGCCGAGGGACACACACAGTCCAGGAGGACCAACACCAGCCACACCGGGCTTGTCTTTCCCGCTGCTATCTATGGTTCGCTCCCCCCGGTCCCAGCCCATCGCGCGGGACGCATGCGCAGCGCCGCGCCGGCCGGCTCCACCTTGGCGGAAGGGCGAACGGAGAGCCGGTGGGGAGATGGATGGCGCCGGCCGGGAGGAGCTGGGTGAGGCGTGCGGGGCGGCGGAAGCGGCCGAGGGGCTGCGGGATGGCGGCGTGCTGCGGGGCGGAGAGGAGGGGGTGTGAGCGTGAAGAGCGGCCGGCTAACTTTATCCCCCTCCCCTCGAGGCGGAATGGTTCTGCCCACGGGAGATGCGCTGCAGTGCTCAGCGCATCGAGGCGGGCGGGATGAACCATCCCACCCAGGGGAGGGGTGGGCGCTCTCCGGCCGCGTCCCCGCGTCGGCGAGTGCCGGGATTTCCTCAGGGCAAAGCAGCGCAGCGGGAGTGGGGAGGCGGGCGGCGAGGTCTGGGAGCCTGGAGCCGGGCCAGAGGCATCCGCGGCCGGCGGGGCTGAAGGAAGCGGAGCGCGACGCAGGTCCGGCGGGGCCTCGTCTTTCTCCGCGGACCCCGCAGAAGGGGATACCCAGCTAGGGTTCGCCACAGCGGGGCTCAGGGCGGGCTGCGGCCCCGCTTAGCCGGAGCCCGTCGCTCGGGGCGGCTGCTGAAGGCGTTAGTGGTGTCTGACTGGACCCTCATTTCATTGGGAAGTCGCGGTCTTGTATAGAAATTAGTGGAAACGCCTTCTGTGTGCATTGTTAGGTGATGCTGTTATCTTCGGTGAATGCTTGGGGTTTATTTGGGCTCTTTTGGGGCTATGTGTGTTGATATTTTAGCTGTATTTATTGCAGATTAGTCTTCGGAGCTTTAAATCTTGAGTGCAGGGAGGCACATACTGTGTTTGCCCCCTAATTTGTCTATCTGTAGATGACGAGAGAATTAATAGCATACTCTTAAAGCACAAGTAATGCTAGGCTGGGCAGACTAAAAATCTCATCTCAAAGAGATGTTCCACTGTAATCCAAAGAATTCATGCTGTCCAGTGATAATGCTGGGAAGCAGATGTGCTTCAGACTGTATTGTCCCAGGGGCTGATTCATCTTACAGTGAGATGTTGCCACCTTCTGACACAGGTGACAGACAGAAATCTTAGACTTTGTTGGCTGTTTCACATGTCTGTCAGTTTCTCTGTCAGAACCCTTAGAATCAGAGTATTTCATGACATTAATGGTTTCTAAGTGAAGGTCAACACCTGGTAAAAAGCTTCTGAAATCTTACATGTTTTGGTCCTGTTGAATACTCAATAAAACTTGAGTCTTACCAACATGTCATCATTTGGAAGTGTATTAATCATGTAGAAATGTGTAGCTTGTTCCAGACAGAATAGTGGGTTATTTAACACTGACATCTTCCCAAATAAATGAGCCACTGTGGGTTGGTGTAAAAGAGCTCCACTGAGAGTGTGTAATAAACTATGGAGAGCTGTGTATGCTTTGGTTAATAACTCAAGTGTCTTGTTTCATTAGGCTTCTGGATTTGATAGGCAGGATGCAAAAGCAAACAGTTCTTCCTGTTTATGGAGTGGCATTATTGACTTTCAACATTTGTTTGGAAACAGCTGTTACCAGGATTAATAAATTCAGCCATAAAGCATGATAAATCTACTCTATTAGGTTACAGCCTGTAATGGAGAAAAGTAAATGACACACAATATATGTTTTCCAAAGAAAAAAATGAAGAGTGATTCATATGACTGCATGAAACAAAACTTTAAAGTTCTTGGAAAAATAAACACAATAAAAGCTAATGCTAACTTCTGCTAGCCTGAAAATGTAATTATTGTATTTTACAGGAATTTTTAAACCAGAGGAGTTTTCAATTCTGGAAAGTACATTTTAGTTTGAGAGGGTTTCTCTGTTTATTCTTGTCTCTCTTGTATTCTGTAGGAGTTGTGGAAAATAAAAAGGGAGCTGGATTGTGTGTGGTTGAGTGGGATTCTCTGTTAGCTCCTTCTTGAACTAGAGAAGTTGACAGAAGTCTGTTGATCTGGACCAGCATGGCCCTAGCACTGCCATTCGCAGTAACTTCATGTGGATCTCTTAAGTTCTTCCATGGTTGTGGAAGCACGTGAGTAATGTGGCAGATGCTGCCAGATCCACATGTGCTTCGTGGACAACGTTGTACTTTGCAGTTTACCTTCTGGAGAAATGCTGGAGGCTATTTATAGGGTGAAGAGTGCAGGAACAGAGTTTTCTTTGTGGTTGAGGGAGTAACTGAGAGTTACAGGGCAAACTGTTTACTAACCAGTTGCAGATTCAGAAAATAATTAGTGACAAGGTTTTCTTTGTAACTCTGTTTTTTCTTGAGAGCCCTGGTTCAGAATGCTGGATTAAAAAGCCTCTTCACAGTGTTAAGATGATAAATTGAATGCAGTTGATGGGGACACGAGGCTTCTTCTGTTACTACAGTTGTGGTTGCCATCCCATATCAGTGTGTTTTCTGTGTTACATTGTAGTTATGTGTCCTTGACTCCTGGGCTGCATCAAAAGGAGTGTGACCAGCAGGTCAAAGGAAGTGGTCCTGCCCCTTTATTCTGCTCTTGTGAGACCTCACTTGGAGTATTGTGTGCAGTTCTGGTGTCCTCAACATAAAAAGGACATGGAACTGTTGGAACAAGTCCAGAGGAGGCCACGAGAATGATCAGGGGACTGGAGCACCTCCCATATGAAGATAGGCTGAGAAAGTCGGGGCTGTTCAGCCTGGAGAAGGCTGCGTAGAGACCTCATAGCAGCCTTCCCGTATCTGAAGGGGGCATATAGGGATGCTGGGGGTGGACTCTTCATTAGGGACTGTAGTGATAGGACAAGGGGTAATGGGTTAAAACTTAAACAGGGGAAGTTTAGATTGGATATAAGGAGGAAATTCTTTCCTGTTAGGGTGGTGAGGCACTGGAATGGGTTGCCCAGGGAGGCTGTGAATGCTCCATCCCTGGCAGTGTTCAGGGCCAGGTTGTATGAGGCCTTGGGTGACATGGTTTAGTGTGAGGTATCCCTGCCCATGGCAGGGGGTTGGAACTTGATGATCTTAAGGTGCTTTCCAACCCTAACTATTCTGTTATTCTATGATTCTATTCAGAGTCTTGGTCACTAAACTTGTCCTGTAAGAGCAGTTACAGGCTTGGTTAGGTGGCAGATGCACTGGATATGCCCTCTGGATCTGAATATGGATTGCAGTTTGTAGCCTGTGAGAAAATACCAGCATAAGCCCACATTTTAGGCTAGTGTAAAGATTCTGTGGTTCTGATTTTCTTGTTTTAACCAGCAGTCAAAACAGCTGCTTATTGAACTGAATCTTCATCCCTATTACAGAGTCACTGGGTCACCCTCTAGTTAATAAACCCATTTCACAGGACTGTGAGTCATGTGCTGTGTTTCTGGCCCTGTTAGCACGGTTTTGTGTAGAAGCTGACTAACCAGTTTGCATAATGCTTTTTGCCATGCATTTAATGTATATGTGAAGTGGTACTTCAAGACCTGTGTGATTCTTCTACCCATAAACGAGGAAAACAGTTGATGTAAACAACGCTAAGCTACATCCTGTACCCCAAATCTTCTTATGCTTATATGTCAAATCCAGTTCTTTCTGTTTGACGACACTGACTTCAGAGCCCTCAAGGAAAAGAAAGAAACCCAACAGATCATATTGCCAAGGTGGATTAGAAAAGGGGTTTTAGATAAAATTTGTCTGAGAGGGTGACATTCTCCAAAGGAACAATGGAAGATTGCATTTTCGCTTTGTTTTTAGTATTTCCTTAGCCTTTAAGTTGCTGTGTGGACCTGGCAAACTGCTTCATCCTCTTGTCACTGTTTCTGCCATAAAATGAAAATGGTGGAGGTAAGTTTTGTTTCATGTAGACCTAAAAGGTTCAGTTAATTTTGAAAGTGTTAACTGCTTGAACAGTGTAGAAAACTTAAGTTCTGAGTGAAAGTTCAGTTTCTTGCGGAGCTTTTGAACCAAAGGGTTGCTTGAATATGTTATGAAAGGTTTAGGACATTTAGGGTGTGCAGAAGTGAATTCCTTCATTCTTAGTTGTGCTGATTAAAGTTGATGCAAAATTTTTAGTGAGTTATGTGACTGAGGACTGGATCAGGTCATTAATGGTCTGTGGTGTCTGGATGCAGTCTGGACCACTTGGTGAACATGGGCCTAAGGTAGGCTGAGGTGTGCTCTGCACCATGTGCTCCTTGAAGCAGCAGGCAGCCTTTGACCCAGGCATTGTATGTGTATCCTGTTCTTGTAGCTGCACATTTGAACTGCACATACCGGACCTGTCTAGGAAGGAATCAAAGTGAATGTATGTATCCTGTGCCCATTTTCAGGCAGTGACCATGGACTTCCCAGAACAGTTAATTTCAGGTTAGATCCCAGCATGCAGGGCACTTGCTCATCTACTGAAGATGAGTATGCATCTGCCTTATGGGGCAGAAAAAGCTCAAGCTGCCTTACTTAATGCACTGTAGGCTCCGAGTTTGAAACGTGGATGTTTCACAAATCTGGATGTCACTGTGCATATGGACTGTGCCATAAAGATGGATGTAGCCTTGGTATTCCAACAGTGGAGATCTATTCTCAAATGCTTAGAAAGTTGCATGATCCAAACCTTATATTATGTCCCAATACCATTACTGTTAAGGGATTCACATGTTTTAGGTCAAAGCTATGCACCACTCATGGGATAAAAGGATAATAATGGGGAAAAGAGGCAATTCAAAAGCATTTTTGTGGCTAGAATAGAGACCAAATAGCAGTATTCGAGGGGAACCTGTAGTAAGTGCTTTGAATCCTGTTTTTAAGAGAAGAGTTTCTTTGTTTCCAGACATATGCTCAGACAAATGTTTCCATAATAACCGAGTGGAAATAAATGCCTCTTGTCTGGTAAAACGGCTACTTGTAGAAGATAATTAAGTAAGCCTTTGACTGTGCTCCAGTTGTTGCTGCTGTTGCGACTAGCTACCACCTCAGAGAAAAGCTGGTGTCAATGGTCTTGGGACTTTGGAAGGTCTGGCTGTATTTCTGAGATGCGTCAGATGAACTTAAATTCCTTTTTTCTTTTAAGGATACCAATTTGATAAGCATTTTAGAAGTTTTAGAAGTACAGCAGTATGGTAAACTAATAGCAATAAAATCAGTTACAGACTGCAAATACTGTGCAATGCAGGTTGGCAGAGATTGTATCTATAAAAAGAAATGTATGCAAATGTTTGTTTCAATTTAATGCATCTTTAAAACGTTCTGTAGTGGAACGTGGGGTAAATTACCTTCTTTCTGTGTGGTCAAACAGACCCATTTTCAATGTTTAAGGTGAATTTTCCCCTTCTGTCAGGTACAGCTGGAGCTATGGTCTTCACATAAGGAAATTCCCTGTAAAATCAGTGTTATGACACCTAACAGCTTGACACTTCAGTATTGTTTGGCTGCCTTTGCTTAGCTGAGTTTGAAAGAAGCACATTTAAAGAAATGCTTAAGATCCTGCCACTCTGTTAACTTTTATTGACATGCAGATCTTTATTCAAATCCCCCAGTAGACCAATGATACTAGAAAGGTTACCGTGATATGTACTGAAAGCAGAATATAGGTAACTGATAAACAGCAGAAAGTGGTTCAGTTCTTGCATGTAGTGACTACAGAACAGAAGCTACTCCTTTCAAATAGGAGGTTCCGTGCTGTCAGGACTCAAGTTTTGTATGAGATGTGTTGCCTTGTACTTTGAGCCACTTTGGAAATAAACTTTAACATGGTTTTCAAAATAAATCTTTTTTATGATGCATTGGTTTTCTGCCATAATCAGTGATAGCTTTCATCTGGGTGTATGAAATTTGGCTGTTCTGTTGCATAAGTGACCCTTATAAAATAGCAGAATGGTGTGGGAAAACAGATACTAAAAGATACGTAACTTATACCTCCCCAGGACCAGAAGTAAACATTCAAGCCACCATAATAGAGGTATTCAGGACACCCATTTTTTCCCTTGAAAGGATTGTCAGGTGCTTTGCCCCAGTGACTCAAGTTAAAAAGCAGGGGTGGTTAAATTCACTGTCTCCTTTCTTTTGGGTTTAGGTGGTTCCATAGTAAGGCAAACTTTGCAGTGAAAAAGGACAACTGTGCTTGAAGCATTGTAAAGGTGGAATAAGAAAGTATACCAAGAGCACCTGCTTGCAGTTGTTTTTCTCTGTTGTGAGGCTGTGTGCTGTAGTTCAGAGAGTTCCGTTCCAATTTTTGGCAGTTTTACAGGTCTTCCTGAATCTTGTCAACAAATCTTGAGGTGGCAGACTGCCTGGAGAAAGGTTCAAGTAGAGCACAGCATGTACCAAAAGACATAAGGAGAACTTACAAAGAAGATTTTATAGACCTTTGTACTGTATGCATTAAAAACCGAGTAGTTATGAGGCGAAGAAGGAATGTCATGTCATGGAGGCAAATGCACAAAGGTGAGACAATCAAGCCCAAAGTATTTATGTGTTCCTTGACATGGAGATGATTTAGCGGATCCAGCAGAGGAGGAAAAGATGAAAAAGCAGAACATGTTGTAAAAGTTGTGTATGCTTGATGGTCAGTTGTAGGGGAAGTCATTTAAGTGAAAGCTCAAGAAACGGCATGAGGGCAAAATGTGCCACTGAAGGTTAGCGTATGCAACTTATGCATAGCAATAGATTTTGCTCATGGAGGGGAACTTTTCCTTCCTGTGTTCCAGCAATGTGTGATTGGAAATGCAATCTCCTCATGCAGATTTTAGAAAAGGACTATTATGATACTGCTGTTAGCTTAGGAAATGGTGTAGCATTGCATCATAGTGATCTTCCATGAGAACCCACCTGGCGTATTGCATCCAGCTCTGAAAGCACAAGAAAGACGTGGACCCATTGGAGCAAGGCCAGAGGAGGCCACAAAAATGCTCTGAGGGCTGGAGCAGCTCGCTATGGAGGCAGGCTGGGAGACTTGGGCTTGTTCAGCCTGGAGAAGAGAAGGCTCCAGGGAGATGTTATTCCAGCCTTCCAGTGCCTAAAGAGGGCTTGTAAGAAAGCTGGAGAGAGACTTTTTACCAGGGCCTGTGGTGCCTGTGGAAGTCAAAGGGGTTTTAAAATGAAATAGAGTAGATTTAAACCGGACATGAGGAAATCTTTCAATCTGAGGGTGCTGAGGCGCTGGCACAGGGTGCCCAGAGAGGCTGTGGCTGCCCCATCCCTGGCAGTGTTCAAGGCCAGGTTGGATGGGGCTTGGAGCAACCTGCTCTAGTGGAAGGTGTCCCTGCCTGTGGCAGGGGGTTGATGAGCTTTAAGGTCCCTTCCAATCCAAACCAGCCTGTGATTCTGTGTTTGATGAATGATACTGTGGTAGGCAAGTGTAAGAAGTAATCTTTTTGCTCTGGGCAAGATTCATTTTGCTTAACTGTAGTAATTAAAAAATAAGTAATTATAATTTAACCAACATTAAACTGGTATAAGCTGTTAGTTTTGCCTCAGAGGCAGTTTTGTTTACTGCAGGCTGCTGTTGCTTGGCGCTGTTACTTGGCTGGATGGTGGAATTGCATTTGTTGACTGTGGTGGCAGTTTTTGCTACATGAAAAGGTTAATGTAGTTTCAGGTTTCAAAGCATGCACCCTAATTGCTTCATCTTGGTTCTCTTGCCAGTAACGAGAGCTCCTCCACGGTACCTGTTTTACCTACCCATTTTAGGATGGGGTGACTTGACAGTACCCTTGTTCACCACTGATAAGAGTAAACTAAATGCTTAGTTTTGCAAGAAGCTAATGGAGGGTAAGATCTCATCCTTTGGTAGCAGTGGATGACTTTTCTGGTTTGGTTTTCTTAAACTAGCTTGCAAAGTGATTAGGAGCATTGACATTATGATAAAGTTGTTTTTCATAATGAAAAAAACAATGTTTGGCCATAATAATGAGATGGTGTGCTGCTTTACAGAGACAGAATTCCCTGTGCAAACTTGGGCTGTTGTATCTATCTGCCTAAATCAGCTTTATAGTTAGGAACATGTGCAAGCCTCATGGCATGGGAACTTTGAGTCCTCTTTTACTTCTAAACTATAAGCTATTTTCTAGTGCTAATGTAGTGTTAACTCTGTTGTACAGACATGGAAGTAATGAAGCCTTTAATTGATGAACAAAACTCAGGTGGCCTCTCGGATGAAGAGCATGAAAGTGCTATCCTGCCAGTTGAGAAGCATTACCAGCTTGGTGATGGAGGAGGCATTACGTACGTATTACTCTTAAGTATCAGCTTGTTAAAATTTGTTCCTTAGTTTCTCATGAGTAGTTTACTGAACTCTTAAGGCACTTTCTTGCACCTGTGGTACAATTTTGTAGTAATACATTGGGACTTTGCATAGTTCTGCCAAAAAGCAGCCTCTTTTGAGTAGGTTCTGTGCTGTTCGTAAGCTAACAATGTACTGGCTGTAAAATATTCCAAGGTGCTGATTTGTGAAGTGATTGTGTCACTCAGAACCTAAGCACTGTTTAAAAAAGGTTTTGATTGATTTTATGTTTCTGTAAAGAAACTTAAGACAACTTTGGAAATAATCAGCTTCTTAAAGCTTCAGTAGAAGAACGTGTGAAGCTTTTCTTTTGGTAGAGCTTTGGCTGTCAGACTTGCAATTTGCAGGTCAGAATGTTGCTGATTCTAAAACTGAAGTGATGAAACTTGTCAATTTTTACTCTGAGGCTAAACGATAGTAAAGTTGCACAGAAAGTAACATTCCACAAGCTGGAGGGAAGAACTGAAAATCGGACTTGTATGTTCTATTTGGGGGAGCTCATATGTAAAGAGGAATAAGAGCATTATTTTAGTATGCCATGCATCATTTAAAGTAGCTGGACTACCTTAAAGCAGTTGAAGCTCAGAATTTATCCACTTATTAATAAGTGACAGAGGGTGTGATTTTGTTTTTTCTGTTTCCTCCTCTCTCCCCCAGTCTCACTGTACTTCTAACATGACTGTATTTTTATCCTCAGGTTTACACAAACACTGACACACCTCCTCAAGGGAAACATTGGAACTGGGCTTCTTGGTCTTCCACTTGCTATAAAAAATGCTGGCATTGTGGTAAGGGTTCAAATAGTAGAAAAGTTATCTGGGAAGATCTGAAGATATGTGTCTAAGCCTGAAAAACTGAAATCTCAATGCTTTTTGTATTGAGATATTATCACTGTCAGCTTCAAGAGAATTGTGTTCTATTTTTTCCTCTTTAGACTGTGAATTTAGTACTGAAGAGTGAGGATTTGATTTTTAAGGTTACTGCTTCACCCTGAAGACTGTGTTGTATTTTTGCTTAGCTGAAATGTTTTTCTGGTGAAAACAAAACTTTGTTAGGAGGAAGACTTTGATGCACTCAAACTCGCAGGAATTTTTATTCCCGCCTTGTCTTATCTTTGTACAGACTTCTCTACATCTGATCTCTTTGTACAGATCACATTTAACAGGCATCAGCTTGTTCTTCAGAAGCAGGGTATAGCACAGCTTGTTTATACTGGGTAACAAACAGTGCATTTCCTAAGCCAGGCTAAACTTAACCAAGTGACATTTTCACTTTACGACTACATAATTCTTTCTTACTGGATGTTCAGTTTAAGAATGAAAGTAAATGTGAAAAGCAAGTATCTTTGGTCAAACTGCTACTCAAACATATTGTTCGATTTTCAAATTATCTCTAACTTATATCTGTAATAATAGAAATTATCAAGGGTTTGGTTGTTTTTTATGCTATACATCAAGTCTACTAATGCAAAGGAAATGTTATTGCCACTTTGAAGTGGTTCAAGCCACTGTTTTGGTTTGCACAGTATATGCAGTCTTTTCACTTAACAGATTTTTTTGGCTCATATCTTAGTGAGGCTTTCAGAGGATGAAGCTATTCACACCCATTCCGTATTTGTGCTTTATTGCCCCTTAGTAGCCGCCTCTCAAGTAACAAGATAAAAGTAAGGAATGCTGTAAAACATCAGCAGTGAGTCTTCATCTGAAGGGGGTGGGGAATCTAGTTGCATAAAATTTTTAATTCTTAATTTATTTGCTACCATGTAAATGTTTTTGCATGTAAAGATTTTCTCCCAGCATATTTTAATGAAAAATCCTCTTTATTTCCTGTCTTCTCCCTTTTTTTTTCCATACCAGATTGGACCAATCAGCCTTGTGTTCATAGGAATTATATCTGTTCACTGTATGCACATCTTGGTACGTTGCAGCCACTGTCTATGTCAGAGGTAAATGTGGAACTGCTCATTCTGTTGCTGAATTTGAGTATTATGTTTTTTCTTTCTTCTTTTCTGTTTCTGATTGTTGGCCTGCAGAATGTCCTGATGCTGTAGCAGTTTCTTCTCTTCAGTTCAGAATCTTGAACTTGCAAGAAGTAACACTCAGTTTTGGATTGTGAAGCTATAAATGATAGCTATACTTTAATATATTGAAAAAATGTTTGTTCTCTGCTCATACACAAAATGAAGTTGGTTTCCTATCTTTGCTGGCACATAATGAGGTCTTTCTCATTACAGTTTTAATTGCTTGGTTTCAGTCCATTAGTCCTTCTTTATCCACATAGCTTTCTTCATAGCTTCTGGATCTTCATAGCTTTGAAAAGTGTCCAGTTTATAAATAGGCAGTTTATAAGTACTTCATAGGGATAAAAGATAAACTAAGAACTTTTGTTAATAGTTAATCTTTCAAAAGTATTTGTGAGCTCTGTGTCTTTGGATTGTGATAACTTGATTGTTTGAAATTCTAGTGCTGAAGGAATGTGTTAAAATGATGCAGATAAACACTAGATGCACTTCCAAGTGAGATTTACGATACCGGGGGGGGGGAAAGCAGCTTATAAAGTTTGACTGATTCTTTTGATTAATAGTGACTTATTAAACATTTTTATCTGTCGGATGTTAAACAGAAGCAGAGTCTTGTTTTTAAAAAGTGAAATGAAGGTTTCGAACTGAACAGAATCACAAAACTATCCCTGTCCATGTAGTGAAAAAACTACCATATCAGTTTAAGATGATATTGTCCTGTGAAGGGATCCTCTCATTCCTGAGTTCTTTACTTTTTCCTCTGTAGTTTTAAATGGCCTTTGCAGATGTATGTAAAACTGAGATCGCTGAAACAACTGCAATGCCTGCTTGTCCAGGAAAATCTGTTGAATCCTTTTGAAGCTCTTTGCGACTTTTAGATTTGAGATTACTGATATAAGAATCTGATTTTGGATTAATGTATCAAGAAACTGTTGCATTAGGGGGAAGCCACATTGTGGTTCACATGCTTGTAGAGTGCTGAATAGTCCTTCCTGGGGGAAAGAAACCCAACCATACCTCTAAAGTTCAGCAGCCACAGAATGGTGCCACAGGTGGTTACTTATAACCCTGGAAGGCCACCAGTGTTTTCAAGGTAGGGATCTAAGCCCTCATAGTTTCTAGTAACTCTGTTTTTTCTTCTATCTTTTTGATTTCAGGATGAAAAAGTCTTCACTGGGGTATAGTGACACAGTTAGTTACGCCATGGAAGTGGGGCCCCTGACTGCTCTTCAGAAACGAGCTTCTTGGGGACGGTAAGTTTACATTAGAATTTAGTTTAATAAATTCTTTATTAAACATTCAGTGGCTATCCTTGGAATGGTTAGGAGATCTCCTTTTTACTAAGATGTTACCTGCTTGGGCAGCGCGTTCTGTGTGCTTGAAATACTTTGATTCAGGGTTGTTATTTCCTGCAGCCAGCTAGTAGAGGAAACGTGAGAGTATTGGGGAGTGTCTCTCTCTGTTAAGCATTTCAATTCTCAGGTCTATGAGAACTGTGAAGAAAAGAATTTGGTAATATAGGAAGAGACGTGGTATAACCAGAAGTGCAATCTGTATTGTGTAGTGTAATGAAGTAATTTAAGTTATCATTCTCTTTTATCGTAAACACGTTTCTCTTCATCAGAGTTCACTCTGCTTAAAGCAAGTTGACACTGCAGATGTTAATTACTTCAATATATTTATTCTGAAAGGAAGCAAAGCTATTATTTGATCTATGTTTAAATGTAACATAGAAATAATGGGGAAATATGCACTATATTTTGCAAAAATGACATGTAGCTACTTTAAAGTGGCAATGACAATAAAAGTTTCCTTCCCTTGCATTAGTAGTCTTGATATGTAGTATAAAAGGAACCTGCATTGCAGTGCTCTTGAGATTAATGTGGCATTTGAGTCTAGTATATTGACTAGTGTAAAAGGAGCAGTAATTGCCTATTAGGTAGAAATGGGCTTATTGTTTGGATCCTAAGTATAATGCCTGTTTGTTTTTTTCTTCCTCAGGTATATTGTCGACTTCTTCCTAGTGATAACACAGCTGGGATTTTGTAGCGTTTATGTTGTGTTCTTGGCAGAAAATGTGAAACAAGTGAGTAATGTTACCCTGCCTCTGATTTATTTTCTTTTTCTTTGTTTTTTTTTTTTTTTTCGGCCAGGCCTTCTGCTGACTTAGCCTTTTTCCCCGTGACCTTATGTCACTGGAATCTTCTTTGGTTCTTGTTTAGACCATTCCATTTTCTAGAATGGTCTCGTCTGGCACAGGGTCCTTTGGATGTTAATCCTGATTTTTGTTCTTAAAAATGCCTGACACTGAAATTTCTGCAGCCTCCTCAGCAGTCAGTCCCAATGCTTTCCTATCTGTTAGACAGCTGATTCTTTGTAGAAGCTTAAAATTTCTTACTGGCATTGTAAATCCTTTATTTTATATTCTAGCTGTAAGTAATTTATCCTTCTCTGTTTGTGGGGCGGTTAGTACATAGGGGATAGTATGTTTTTTTCCCTCCCCTTGTAGGTGAGTATTTATACTGTGTCTAAAAAGTATTCCAAGTTCTACAGATGAAGATGAGGTTAATTTGTGTATTTGGAAGCTGGATACTCTGTAATTTGTGTCTTGGTAGAGGGAAGAAATCAATCAGAACTGTAAAACCTAAAGTTCTACTGTCACAATCTTATCTCAAAACCTAAAAATCCTATTTTACGTCTGACGTCCTTTTGTTGGCCTCCTGAAGTGGAGATTTATGTTGCATCCTTTCTAATGTAAGTTTGAGCCTTTCCTATCAAATACGTATCTGATCAGCCAGTTTTTATGTATGTGTTTTGACCTTAAGCAACAGATGAGACTGAACGCTTACTGACTGTGGCTTTTGTAGATTTTGGGAAAAAAGCAACCCATGAAACCTTTTTAGGAACTTGCTGCTTTCTTGAAGAAGAGTTAAAAGATCTTACAGGGAAGCAACTGCTACAAGAGCAGTAGCTGCAGAGACCCATGGCATGTAACCTGTGAATCAATTAAAGCCATCAGCAATTCAGAAGTTCCCCTTCCAATATACCAAGTGTATTTGATTTAGGCTGCCCTGTGCTCTCTCTTCTGGGAGGGACGAATCTGTGGAGTCTTCCTGGCAACTCTTTGTTGCAGAAGTCTGTCCCGTAGAGGGCACCAGAGAAAACAAGTTGGTGTTGCTTAAAATCTGTTTGGGGTAGTGGAGGAGGAGAAGGAAGGTGGACAGAGGGAATTGGGGGGGAAGGGGGGCATGTGTGGAGAGCTGAGGTAAAGGAACAACATAATAAAAAATTACTGATACAGCTTCTTGACCAATAGCTCTGTGTTGGGGTTTAAGCCCAGCCGGCAACCCAGAGCCATGCAGTTGCTTGCTCACTCCCCGCTTCCTCCCCCAGCTCCTGGAAGGATGGGGAAGAGAATCGAAAGAACGTAACTCCCATGGGTTGAGATAAGAACAGTCCAGTAACTAAGGTATAACACAAATCACTGCTGCTACCAGCAATAATAATAATGATAAGGGAAACAACAAGGAAAGAGAATACAACCGCTCACCACCCACTGACCGATACCCAGCCTGACCCGAGCAGTGATCTAACCCTTCTGGGTAACTGCCCCCAGTTTATATACCAGACATGCCGTGCTGTGGTATGGAATACCTCTTTGGCTAGTTTAGGCCAGGAGTTCTGTCTCTGCTTCCTTCTGGCTTCCCATCCTCCCTGGCAGAGCATAAGACTCAAAGTCCTTGGTCAGACTAAACATTACTGAGCAACAGCTAAAAACATCAGTGTTATCAGTACTGTTCCCAGGCTGAAAGTCAAAAACACAGCACTGCACCAGCTACCAAGAAGGAGAAAAATGACTGCTACTTCTGAACCCAGGACACTGCATTATGCTCTGTACTTTTCCGATCATGCTTGCAAATTAAGTCCACTGGAACTCATGGGAATTTCCACTGAGATCTTTTCTTTGATAGTCTCAGTTAAACCTGGTGCCAACCCAAATTTGGTGATCTCTGCCTTCACTTTATTTGCTGTTTCGGAGAATGAAAATGTGACAGCATTTTAAAATGGTTCTGGTACATGAATGGAATATTCATCAGCCCAGATTACTTTGAGGTGCATATTTAGTTAGACACAGTGGGGCATGTGATTCTAAATACTTATTTCATCATTTGAATTCTGTGAAATCCTTCTCACTTACGGATATGCAGTATAGCTTCTGGTACTAAATCTTTTCTCATTAGTCTCTTGGGGATTATAACAGTGTTGGCTGCATTACACCAGTGTTTTCCAGACGCTTTGTGCTGCAAGACCCTATTTCCAGTTATATCAGATTTCAAGGGAAGCTTTTCCTAAGGAATGTTTTCCAGGGAAACTTAGGTTGGTAGAGGGAGTTCTGGTTAACACTGCAGTAAGAGGCTTATAGGTGAAGGTGTCTACAACTGGAGAGGAAGGGTGAAACTGGAAAAAAGAACTTGGCTGCAGCAAGACTGGAGCAGGAACACACTGGGGTAGGAGGGATAGGAAAAGAATCTGTGCTTCAAAGAGCATGGTCCCCTTTCAGTCATATTTTGCTTTTCTTGAGCAACAGAAGACTTTAAGTTACCTCTTGGCATTTCTCAACTCACTCGTGAATATTTGCTGAGTTCTCTAGAAAAGTGTCCTTTTTTCATTGTTTGCTGTTGGAGCTGAAAAATGAAAACATGTTCCTGCTGTGTGGGAGCACTTTATTAGATCTTTAGCACTTCAAAGATGACCCATAGGTGGGGTGCTAAAGGATGGATTTTTTTTTTTCCTAGGTTTTGTAAAAAGGAAAAAAAACCTCCTCAAACTTAAGAAATAAAATGACACTTGTTAAAAATATTGTTCAGCACTGAGTAATAATGAAATACCACACAGTCTTTATCTGTCTGATAAAATACTTTTGTGCCAGCTCTGGGACAAGGTATTGTACTGGGTGTTGCTCTGAGTTGAATAAATAAAGGAATTAGGAGGAACCAATGACTTCAATGATTACTGTTGTGATCCCACTAGACGTTAAAAAGTCTATGGACTGTATGACAGAAAGAGAAGGTTTAGGGATACAGGCAAGGAAACAGTGGTCTTACTTGAAGAGACTAAGGAAAGGAATATTTGTGGCTTCTGAGATAGTTCTGTTGAACTGAATTTTCTGCAGTCACTAGTTGTGCATTAGACATGTTTTGAGTGCCTGACATAAGGAGTCTGGTAACCAGATTTGCATGAGTGTTTGATCTTCCTGGATACAGCTGAAGTTGAATGCTGTGCTTGGGCTACGTGAATGAGACATCTGATGAAGCCCTCCTGTTTCAGACATGACACTATCATGTAAGTTAATGCCTTTGCAGTCACTATGCATAGTGACTTCAGCAGCTGTGTGCTTCCTTTCTAAAACCATGATGATATTTCCTCGTGGTTTAGGGAAATGTTTGTGGAAATCACAGATACATCCATAAGCACAGAAAAAAAATGCAGATAATGTGTGTTCAGTTTGGAAGCTGAACAATGTTCACTGGGCTCTGTGACATATACAGAATATTATGTATGTCTTTTTCAAGAGTAGATCCAATGGATGGGTAAGTAAAAAGGTTTGACTAAGTTGGCTGATACTCCAGTGATACTTCAGGTTATGTTGCTTTGTTTAGGAAAAAGACATACAATGTCTGCTGATCTTTGCCCAGCATGACTGCCATATGCAGTGATGTATGAGTGGAGAGTAGCAGGAGACTCAAAGTGATTGTTGTCCAGAATAGGAATCTGAGATAATATTAATTCTAATGTTTTGGAGACAAAGTTGGACAGACAGTGAGTCGTAGTCCATTGTACCACAATCAGCAGTAAATATGCACTGTGCTAAACAGCATATGAGAAAGAATGCAAAAAAAGTCCTCCTACTGCTTTGTATTTTGTTACTTGTTAGAACAGTTTTAAGTGATATCTGATTAATAAAAAAAATATAAAATCTAATAAAATACTTTCAGAGTGATGATAATGTTGGCTTGCACCTCAACAGACCAGTATAATGTTTACTGTCAAGTCTCCTACAGCCACTCTAAAAGGGAAAATAATGATCCTTACTTTTTATCATTTTAGCATTTTACTTCAGCTTTCTTCCACCTGTCAATCACTTTTGTCTGTTTTAGCTCTTCTACAATGTTAACCTTTCATGGATTCATAGGCTGGTTTGGGTTGGAAGGGGCCTTAAATCTCATCCAGTTCCAACCCCCCTGCCACGGGGAGGGACACCTTCCACTAGAGCGGGTTGCTTCAAGTCCCTGTGTCCAGCCTGGCCTTGAACACTGCCAGGGATGGGGCAGGTTCAGGATTTCATCTCTTTTCTTTCTTTGCACTTCGAGCAGCAGGATCTGATGGAGGCTCCTCAAAGTCATGACATTTCTGAGAATCCAGCTGGTATTTCAAGAATGTATTTTAGAACCTGAACTGTATCCTGCTGCTGTTATTCCTTTTCCATAAAGGAACAATGTAATTTGTTCTCTAATAGCTCATCATCAGGCTCCAGTTATTTGTATACATTGAATGCATGGTAGGTTGAATATTTATTGTAGCTGAGGTTTTCAATGGGACTTACGTGCTGAAATCACACTGTATTTCTTAGAATCCCCCTTACATGTTCGTGTGTGCAGGGTGGCTCTGGCTGCTGGTTGGTGCCGGCAAGCAAGTAAACGCATGAGACTGTTGTTAAGGTGAAAGGCTGTTAAAATGTATTTCTGTGTACTTTTTGTTTCTGTATTTCTATTTTAAGAATGGTGGGAAAGCAGGAAACTTCTGCAGGGAGTTTTACTTCATGTGGCATTAGGGAAGTAATTTGGTTAAGTGTTTGACATGTTGCTTGGGAAAGTAGAGTTATTGTAGCTGCGTGGATTCACTGGAATTCAGGTCGAAATGTATTTAGCTCTTTGCAACTTTCTTATTAAAAGCTAACAGAAGGTAAATGTCTTGTAAGTGACACTTAAGGTTCTTGCAAGGTGGAAACAGTCAGTGTTTCCATGATGACTGGTGTTCTCTGTTTTCATTTTAGAGTGAGATTTCTGGAAAACATGGTTGCAGAATTGCATCTTTTACCTTTCCCTTTTTCATAATGAAAAAAAAAAATCTATCCAGTGCTTTTTGTTACAGATGACAGAATTTTAAGTTAATTCTTCCTGAGTTTGTGGATTGTTTGAAACAATGAAAGTCAATTGTATATTTTTATGTATTTTTTTCCTCCTAGACTTGCAAAATCTGAGTTTTGGCCAATGTGCCAACTTGAATGACTTGATTACATACAGTTGGTTTTTCCAATATCAACTAAGGCTCCTTGCATCATGCAAGTCTCAAAGTGCCAATGATACCTTGATTACCAACCGTATCTCCAGTCTGTCCTTCTTTCTCTACTTTGGCTGCTATTCTTGGCCCAGTGTGACTGCCATGTTCAATGATGCGTTAGCAGAGTGACCGTATACTCAGTGCTAGCGCTGTTTGGTAGCATAGAATCACAGAAATCAGGTTGGAAGGTACCTCAAGGACCATATGGTCTGCTTTCTTGGCAAAGCATGACCTAGACTAGATGTCTCGGCACCCTCTCTAGCCGTATCTTGAAAGTGTTCAACACCGGGGAGTCTACTGCTTCCCTGGGGGGATAATTCCAATGGATAATTGTTCTCTTTGTGAATGATTTTCCTCTTGTGTCCATTTGGAATCATCATTTTTTTTAATTTGTACAGGTCCATGAAGGATTCTTGGAAAACAAGACAGCTCCCATAAATGTCAGTGCCACCAGCAGTCCTTCTGAGAAAAGGAGTACTGATTTACGAATATACATGCTGTGTTTCCTGCCATTCTTGATCCTCCTGGTCTTTATTCGTGACCTGAAGAGCCTGTCTATGCTTTCACTGCTTGCCAATCTATCCATGGCTGTCAGCCTGGTGATCATTTACCAGTATATTGTTAGAGTGAGTATAGAAACATTTATTGTCTTTTGTTTTCAGTGTGGCAGATTGTATTTGTTGCATGTGGCAGTTGGTCTCTGATAGATCCGATACTGACCGACAATTTCTGAAAGGTGGAATTATCTTGTATTTAATTTGAAGAGGTGCCCTATTACTTGACATGCTTTAAGCACAGAGTTCTACAGTACTTTTGAAAGACAGGATAATATTGTTGCACTTCAGAAAAAATATGTATTGTAACAGATTGGAGTCCTTGGGGGAAAGAATATGTGGATTTTTATGGGCTGCACACAGAACTGTCAAGGTTTTAATCTGTGGTCAATCTTTCTGTTGCAACAGAAGAACAATTTCAACAGCGATGTTTATGTCTAGTATTTCTCCAGTACAGTCAGAAAAAAATTAAGACTTCCCTTTAGGAATGCATTTTGCAAACTTCCATCTCCTGGGAAGTTGAATAGTTGCTGCATATTCTGGATTGCTGCTGTTTTTTTCGTATTTGGAGGCATTTCATAATGGAACAAATTAAACCAGTGGTTGTGAAAAAAAATCCCATGTAAAAACCTTTCCCTTTTTATTTCTTGGGATTTTTGAAAAGTGATAAGATGCTGTTGCATGCACAGTGTAGATAAGTGCTGAGTGACAGTATTGCTTCAGAAAGCTATCATGTGAATGTTATGAGTGGGAAGCAGAGAATTAATTACTCTGGTATTAATTGGTCTGTAGAAACTCAGCTTGTATTAAAAGGATTTTCTTTTGCTGTTGCTTATGGTTATGAGAATAACTGCAGTATGAAAGCAACACCATGAGAAGTTTGCAGAAGATTAAGCTTGAGGTGTGAGCTTTCCCTTTTATTTTAATTGATATTCACTCATACACACTAGTGTGATACTTTAAATGCATGATTTCTAGTGTCACTAGTATGAACACAGATTAAATATATGTGCAAGTGCCTGTGTGGGTGGGGAGGCAGCTATGAATGTGTGTAAAGGACTGAGTTTGGGATTGTAAATAGCCATGTGTGCACCACTCAGCATGTGCTGAGTTTTCTTTGCTATAGGGTAATGTTTAAATCTAAATTGTAAGATCAGATAATGCACTTTGCATAGCATGGTTTTACATTGTTTTCTTCAGGATATAATAGATCCACGAAAACTGCCTCCTGTGGTTGGCTGGAAGAAATACCCACTGTTTTTTGGGACTGCAATATTTGCTTTTGAAGGAATCGGTGTGGTAAGTGATTTTTACTGACTCTTCAGAATACCTCAATCTATGTTAGATCATGGGAGTTTACTGCTGCTGGTTTTTTGTTGTTTTTGTTGAAGCACTGATATGAAAAGGGTTAATTTATCTTATCAAATCAGGCAAAAGTTGAGGACATAACATCCCCTTCACAGGGGAGTTTGGTGAATACTGATTGCTACTTGGACACTTGGCACCTTCCCAAATTACAAGAATGCCTTTAGTTCCAAACAGATTGAGACAATAGTGTAATCATAACTAGTATCATCATATGCTAGATAATAATACAATACCCAGCTAATAATATGATGATACTATAATTACAGTGATTCAGCAGCTCAGTTTTAGGTGATGAGTGTGTAAAAACAGAAGCTTATTTAGCATCCTTCTTTTCCTTTGGGATCACAGAAGACAAAGTGATTTATTAGAAATGCATTATTCTTCCTGCTTCAAACTTGTCTGTAAATATGACTTGACAGAGCTGGAGATGATGAGAAAAAGAATAGAAATTTTTTCCAATTCATGTCCTTCTGACAATGAACCTCAGTTCCTCATCGTTTCCTGAAAGACGTGGATTAAATAGATTCATCACTCTGGAAGCTTGTTTTTTGAAAGTAGATAATTTTCAATCTCTGCTGTTTCTAAGGGCTTCGTGCTTACATCTCATGCTAGCAAAGTTTACAAGTTACTTGGCATTCTTTTCACATGTCATGTTTTAAAAAATAGCTGAAGAGGCTTCTGGGAATGGTAGGTCATAATGTCTTTGAACTGTTAGGAGATTATACACTTTATTTGTTACTAATACAATTACATGCTTCGGTAGGTGTTACTGTATGATTGAAAGCCAAATAAACTGCCCTTTCCTGCCCCTCCAAAACACAACAAAACAAAACAAAAAACCAAACCCAGACCAACCCCAAACCAGCATGCAGTTAATCTGAAATGATGGTCTGTCACTGACATAACACAGAAGAGTTTTCAAATCTCTTTTCTTTTCTGGAATTATCAGCTCTGACTTAAACCAGAATATTTTATCTTGGTGCTGTAATATCACTGCCAGAAGAGATAAATAGGAAAACCCTTTAACTTTTCTTATGTTGCAACAGTGTATTTTCACACACAGTATATTTGGATCTAATGACTGTGAGTCTGTTTCTCAAACTGTTCTTGACTTGTTTTCAAACTGTGAACTGACTGATGCAGCGGTTTAGCTACCATATATCTGAGTGTATCCAGACATCTTTCCTTTTGTCATCTGGAAGTTCCATCATAGGAAATCATTAATTTTCCTCATTTTGATTGATGCCTACAGGGCAAAAATCCCATGCGCAGTGAATCAGGCAGATTGGACTATACTAAGGTTGTTGCTCTTAAATTGTATAGTCCATCTGGGACAGACTACACTTACTATATGTGGTCAAATGCAAGTCATGTATGATAGGTCTGAATACATATCCCAGTTGTATCAGATGTGCTTATAGCACACAGGTGGGTGTTGTAGCCAGGAAATCCCAAATGAGGCTCCTGTGAGTCTCAGGAAAGCATGGAAGGCTTACCACTTGGTAGTGGTAGTTTATTACATTATAGGCGGAGAACTGATTTATAGTAATTATTTTCTGGCTCATTAGAACCCAACCTGGGGTGGGGGGGATCTAATCCTAGTACAGCAGTAGTAACATTGACTTCAAATGTAAACCTTTAAAGAATTGATTAATATTTCTTCCTTATATGCAGGATTATATTCATATGTCTCTGCATGTCCAAAATATCCCTGAGAAGCAGAGTGTTTGCTGTGCATTCTTATGCTGTAGTTGTGTGCACCAGAGGGAAGATCTGACAAAAAAAAAATTGGTTTTATGGATCTGAGTAATCAGAACTGAGCAAAGTTGTTGAAGCATGAAGTAAAAAAGATGAGTGAAGCAAAGAGAGGCGGACACTGCTGCCACTTCACATAGTTAATATTTCATACAATTCTCTGTGATTGATTTAATAACTAGTTATTACAGCTCACTAAGTTGACATCATAGACTGAGCTGTGATCTCTCTGTATATGTTTGTGACCTCTTGCAAATGTGAAGTGAAACAAGATTAGTTTAAAGTTCTTTCACTGAGATGTAAGCAAATGTGTTTTAACCCACATTACAATGGATTGAGAATACTCGTGTAGTCAGTTGCTGTTGTGTATCTGATGTGTTACAGCTTGTTACCCTGTGTCTTGTTTATTGTCATTCTTATGTAGGTGTGGTTGAATTATCTGGTAAGGAAAAAACCTTTACCATTTAGTTATATTGGCTTCTTAGTCTGTTCTCTGCCTGCAGGGACTCAAGATGGATTTACCTAATCTTAGTATTTTTGTTAGAGACTTGATTCTAGATTTTATTCTGGAATATCTTGGAAACAGCACTATTAATGTGAAGCTATCTGGACATCACATAAACAGAAGCCTTGCAGTTTTAATTTGATCAGAAAAGTTGATTGTGGCTGTTACATTTAATGCAGTAAGTTGGCCTTAAACAGTTATGAAGCCTCATTTTTCCTTGTCCTTGATTCCAAACATACATTATGCTAATTCTCATCTGAGAGCTGCCAGATTACTGAATGTATGAACGGGGACAGCAAATGAAATTCTGAGGTTTTTGGGCTGGTTAAATCATCTTAAACAGAATCTGACAAGAGAAGAAAAATGCCCTCGATGTGGTTTTTCTTCCATCATTGTTCTGTGTAAAATGGTTTTCCTGCTAGGAGTATTTAATGGTCAATTCAAGAAGATCTACAAGGCACAGTATAAAGCAGTGCACCTTAGCCACAGCAGTTGGGAGGATTTATTTTCAAAGACATGTAGTTGCTTTTGTTTTTTATTAACAGGGGAGTGGCTAATCTAGACAGAAACTGTCAGTTCATAATCCCATATTTAGTATGGAAATGTTTTTGTCTGGTTTCTTTGAACCAGATAATAGACTGCAGGGGAAATACTCTAGCACTGATTCTTTTTCATCCCATTGTTCCAAAAAGCTTTTTATATATTGATTTTTTGGGTACTTTTAGTTTAGCACTTGTCCTTATTTAAAGTATGACCGTAGTTCTTCAGTAACTATTAAAATGAGTGAGACTAATTAAATGGAGGAGTCCAAGTCCTGTTCACTATGGGGAAAGTGATTCAGGAAGGTGCAGTGATTCAGCAGGTTCCTAGTAGGATTTTCTTCTTGATCTTGATTGAGTATATTTCTCTTTTAGACAGTGAGTGTACAAACATGGGTTTTAGTTAAAATCTGTCATTAGTTTAGAACTGATTAGCTGTCCCTGTGTAATAAGAAAATCAGCAGTATGGGAGTAATTTGAAATATTGTTGCTTTGGCATAATTACAATGATTAATTGATGATATTAATATGATGAATTAAGCTGTTCTTACCTGCTTGCGAGATCAATGTAAACTCTTATTTGATGGCAGATTTGGACAATTTGTTATTTTGCTAAAGCCCAGACAGGTTGCTCATTTGTTGCTACAACTGCTACAGCAGAAATAAGGTTAATGCATGCTAAATGTTAATTCTAATGTTAATGCATGCTCAACTGTGTACCTGTAACAGGATTAAAAAGTGCTGCAGTCTGTTGCTTGTGCTCTTCATCTCTTTGCTCCCTATTTGAGTTGTCTGTAAAAATGGGGTCACTGCTTATTGATATAAGGTACCTCTTGCAAACTGTGAATGTCTCGGCAGCCAGGTGGTGATCATCACTATGTGCTAACAAGAGGAGCTGGCAGCAGGGCTACCCCATGATCCCTTAATATTGAGTGAGCAAATCTGAGAGCTCTGTACTGTCAATCTGGTGGTTATCAGTCAGTCTTGAGAGCTGCCTTGGGATTTCAACACTTGTAAGTTAAGATTTTAAAACAATTATGGTGACCTTGTGAAAGTTATATTACCTAGTGGCATCAATAAAGTCTGTGGAACAGTAGTAGCAACAGAAATGCAGGTAATAACTTTGCATAATGTTAAACTTGTATAATAACAAGTTACTCCTAATGAATGTTTCGTGGTAAAAGCCTGGTTGGCTTTCTCGTTAGAGGTATAAAATCCAAATCCAAATGTGGAAATGATATTCTAATGTAAGCATCAGAAGGATGGAGGATGAAATAGGTTCATAACATTTTAAAACAGATACTTTTTCTTCTCTGTTACATACCAGTGTTGTAAGTGAAGTGGGTTTGTACAATTGAGTAGGTTTGTGGGCTTTTTTCCTGTTGAGCGCTGCAGACTGATTAGTGAAGAGAAATTGTTTCTTTTTAATATTAATTTCAGGTTTGGAAAATAAGGCTTCTGGCATTTCAGCCTATAACTTAAAGACTGCTTTTTAAATTGGATATCACAGCTTTGCAGTAGAAGGTGGAGTGGTATTTGTATACGGAAAGACAGGCTCTGGAATCACATTAGGCAGCAGCTAACCAATTCCAGGAGATTTAGAAAAGAGAACATTAAGTGGATTATAATTCTAAAACATTGTTATTTGTATTTTGAAAGTGATGCAGATGAGGCTGTGAGGCCTGTGCCTTTGAGATAAAAGCCTCTCACTATCAAAAACTCTTCTGCCCAGATTAGTATTATCCTTTAAAAAAAATAATGAAACCCAGTGGTGTTCTTCTGTTGCTTTAAGACCAGACTAGATTTGTCAGAAGCAGACATTTAACACGTAAGATGACATCATCTAAATGTACTTGGGCCGTCTCTAGACTGGGATGTATCAGTTTCATTGGTATTCCTTTGAGATGGTGCACAGGCTTGTACCCTCAAAATATGAAAGATGGCAGTTCTCAGAGGATGTTTTTGCATTTGGAGAGGCAAGAGGAGGTGACTGGATTTAATGATTGCGGAGACGACCTACGACCTACTCTTAAACGTACATGGTAAATGTGAACCTTAAAAGTTGTGTCAGTAAGAGGCAGGTAGGAAGAATCTGAGAAGATTGCTTTTTGGAGTGATTGGAATTAGAATTTCAGAAGGTGGTATTCTGTAAGGAGAACTTGGCGTCTGGATTTATTTCTTTGGTAGAAAACTTTTATTACAAAAATTGATCTACTGTTACAGTTTGGCTTGCATCTTTCCGTGAGTAATAGTAGCCACCCATTTATTTGCAGTCATGAGGGATATGTTAAGGAAAATTAGATTGTTTATTGTGCTTGTGCAAAATAGTGATGTTCTATATCTTCCTCAAGAGAGTGAGCTTTAAAAGTGTATCTAAAAGTGGTGGAATAAAAGCTTGTTGCTCAAAACAATGTGTGAGACTCTCTTCTGTACAGTGACAGAGTTGCTGTCAAGGACAGGGAAGCAAAATATAGCAATGTAATAATATTATATGCTATGATCATTATTTTACTTGGGGAAACCATACTTTTTCTTTAGACAGCTCCCTAGTACACTGTAGGGCTGCAGATATACCTTTCAGTGAACAGATGAATTCATTAGGGACTTTGGCAGACAAGAAAGAATGGGCCAGGCTAGGGCTACATTGGTTTTCTGAGGATTCAATCTTCTGCCTTTGGGGGGTAGGTAGTAGAATTTATGTTTACATACCTTAAATTCCATCCTTTGATACCAGTTTCCTCAGCTGTTTTGCTTTGAATGAACAAACTTTGTTTTGTTGCAGTAGGACATGATTCTAGATGGGTATTTTTTTTTCTGAGTAAATATTGATAAATATATTGGTTTTAGTTTTCCAAAGTTCTTGCGTTGTCTGTACCTTATACTAAATAAACATCTATATAGCTCTCTCCTACATCAAATACTTACTTTAAAAGTGTAAGAGATGGAGGATTGCTTCTTTTTTGCCATTTTAGTGATATTTCCTAAAAAAGGGAAAGATGACCATCTATATGTAAACACTAAGCATGCCTGCTTTTAAGTTATCCATTACAAGATTAGTTTTTAGTGGTCGTGACAATTAAATCAGTTTATCTGATTATCTGCAGGCTGAATTCTCCTGTGGGGTTTTTTTTTTGATCCAGTAGTATAAAATGTACAGTAGAGATTTCAGATTAGAATCAGACAGACACCTTTAGCTTAGTTGTAGGAAGAGAGTGTAGCAGGATAGTCGAGGCAAGGAATGAGGAGGCAGTGGTATTACTGGGGGATGTTTATACCTACTTCATGCAGCTTGGAATGAAAGGGAGGGTACTTTGCCTAATGGATGATGGTAGATTAGCCAGGCTATTTCAAAGATGCATTTATACTTCTTTGTCAGTGAATGATGGGTATGTTTGAGTTTATTTGGTGAATGTAAAAAAGATGGATTATGCCTGTTTTGGAAATTAAGAAATCAAATGTACTTAGTTACTGAAGGGATCAAGTATGAAGTTTCAAGGAAGGTAATAGTGACATGTGCCAGTGTCTCAAAAACAATAGGGAGGTCTCTCTGAAACAGGTGACAGAGAAAAAAGATGTCGAATTTATTCAGTTGGGGATAGAGAAAAATGAGGGGAAAAAAGGATTATGAAAAGGATCGGTATTGTCAAAATATCTGATTTTATAGGTGTTTAGGGCTGTGACGTGACTAGTGTCAACTGCAGGAGAAAGAGCATGAAGGAAGCAAAAGCATGGAAGTTGGAAGCAGGGAAAAGACCCATTAAAAAAAAATCTTTGAAACTGAAACTTGTGTCATGGTTCTCTCCTCTCCAGCATTCTGCCCTTGGTGACCTTGCTTGAGAGAGAAGACTATTCCCCAAAGTTTTCCCTGACCATAGTATTTCTCATCATTAGGTTCTGCAGTGGTTGTATATGTGGTAACAGGTTATAGGTCTGAACAGTGTGGGAGTTACTGGACTAGCTTAATGTAACTGCTTGTTACAGCAGAAATTGTCATTTGAACAAGTGTAGAACAGTGTTGAAGACTTAGTGTGTGATACTGAATCGATGAACCATCCTTTTGGAGGCAAGATGTTATAATGTACTGGACAGAGAGAGAATCAGATGTTTGGGGTTGTTTTCTTTCAAAGCTATGCAGTCATCTAGGTAGGGTGTTAACTTTTTCAGAAAACCTTTTAGAAGAATTGAAGAGTGTAATTAATTTCTGGCTTCAGAAGAAAGGACAAGAAAGCCTGTTCAGCTTCAGGGTTCCAAAAAAGAAGCAATAAGACCAAAACTCAAAAGCATTCGTGAAAAGAACCTCATGGTTTTGGCATTCAGTTAAAATCTTAGGTTTTCTGAAGTTGTTGCAACAGGGACGAGAGAGAAATGTAGAGTGAAAATCTAACCAGCAGCTGCCCAACAGTGACAGTGTAAGAAAAAGCACTGGCTCATGTTGTACCTCCTGTCAGCCTCTGTCTCCTTACGAACACTTGAATGATCTTTTGGATCCTGACGGAAATTAACAACTTAAGCAGCAGGGAGTTTGTGTAATATATGTGTAATTGGTTGTTATTTGGCTTCGTGTTAATCCTGTGAGGTACACAACTTTCAGCTTGTCTGAAATACATTATACTGGATACCGCATAAAACCCAACTCAAGGTCTTTGCATAATTTCTTTGGGGATTAGTTCAGCCAAGGGAAGCATCTTCTGCAGTGACAGCAACTGTCTCAAAAGCCTACTGCTGCTTAGAGAGAGTCCTTGAACCTGGGAAGGCTTGCTGCTGGGTCTGGGAAGGAATGCTGTTGCCTGGTCTGAGTTAGGTAGGAAAGGCTGCATGAACATCCTCATCTGTTCTGGAGGCATATCTAGTCGTGATACTAACTTAAGGATAAGCAGGCTACTGATAGTACTATTTCTTTTTGTGTATCTTTTCCTTAGATTTACTATAAATGAAGATTGTAATGTTCAGGTGAGGGTGTTGGTGCAGGAACGTGTTTAGATGTAGTATGTTTTGTTTTGACCTACTCATTAGTGTGCATGAAGTGACATAGAATCACAGAGTAGTTTGAGTTGAAAGGGACCTTCAAAGGTCATCTAGTCCAACTCTCCCTGCAATGAGCAGGGACATCTTCAACTAGATCAAGTTGCTTAGAATGACATCCAACATCACTGATATTAATCGCTGAGCTTGATGTAATGGATAGTTAAAAAGCGAGGGTTAGTGTGCATAACGGGATTGTCTTGAAATGTTTTTTAATGGGTTTTTAATTTTAATTAAGTCTTTGTTTTCATGGTGAAACGTGGGCCTCCAGACTGACTGGGTTTAAATGCAAAAGATAAAAAATAGTAGTACTGGCAAAAATAATAATAATAAAAGAATATATTTAAGTGCTTCCTCTGGGCACAAATACATTGAACATAATATGCATCACTTGGACTTTGTTTTCCTCTATAAACTAAGTTTTGGATAGATAATTGTATGATAATGTTGACTGCCTGCAAAAAAGTTTGTTAAAATGTAAAAGGATTAAGAACTAAAAAATAAAATATAAACAGCTATTAAGGACAGAATAGAACAGTGGTTGTAGGCTGCCTGTGAGGAACTATTGAGTGTCTGAGCTGAGTGATTTCTCCTGGATGAGATCACAGAAACACAGACTGGTTTGGGTTGGAAGGGACCTTAAAGCTCATCTCGTTCCTACCCCTCGCCATGGGCAGGGACACTTTCCACTAGACCAGATTGTTCCAAGCCCATCCAACCTGGCCTTGAAACACTTCCAGGGATGGGGCATCCACAGCTTCTCTGGGCAGCCTGATAGGGAGATATTAGTAGTATTTTCCCTAGATAAAGTATTCTTGTCTAAGGGCACTCTTGTCTAGGAGCATCCACATACTTTCAGTTTGTGTTTTAATGAAGATGTAAGAGGATCTGTTATGCTGATAAAATTCAAGCTGGGAAGAGCAGTTTATTTCTTGGTTTTCCTGTGTTGCCTGGATTTTTTTCTTGGAAGCTAAAAACTTAAGTTTTTAAGTGTTTTCAAGAACTTACTAGGGGTATTTTTGTGTATGCCACATAGTGCATGTAAAAGCCAGTCTCTCCAGCAAACTGCATGAAGAAATGGTTATAATGCTTGTGTATTCATATTGAATTGATGGCAAGCCCATCAAGGTCACTTGGCTATAATTCAGGAGCAGAGCACCCAAGGCTACATTTATTAAAAAGCAGTGCTTAGTATGCCTTGTCCTGTTTCTGTCAGAAGAATGGAAGAACGTGTGGGTCTGTATTCTGGTAGCCACGGAGTCAAGCTTTGCTGCTGGGAGAGCTGAGCCTGACTGCTGAGCATGAGGTTGTGTGTCAACCATGTGCATGGTAGGTTTGTCTGTGATGGAGACTGACAGTGCAGACATGCCTAATGAAAAGAGAATTACCCTTGGATTCTGAACTGTTCTGTTACTAAATACTGATGTTATTCATTGCCTACATATTTTAATCTGGACACCATAATTTTCTCTTGTTAGTTTTTTCTAACCTATAAATACTGCTTTATGTTCTCACACCATTGCTATTTTCTGACAAAGATGGGTGTTTTTCAATAACTGAACATTTCTGTAGGCTACATAGAACATTGTGATCTTCCAGGCTGTAAAACATTATTGTAATCTTACTTATTAATAATCATCTACATTTTGGAAATCTGCTTTGAAAGGGGGGAGAAAAGTAGTTTTACTGTAGGTAATTGATGTAATTGATTCTCCTTCTATTTCCAGGTACTTCCATTAGAAAACAGAATGAAGGACACCACACGTTTCCCACAGGCATTAAACATTGGCATGGGAATAGTCATGACCTTGTATATCTCACTGGCCACTCTGGGGTATCTGCGCTTTGGGGATGAAATCAAAGGCAGCATAACTTTAAACCTGCCACAAGACATATGGTAAGTGCATACATGACTTAAAACTAGTAACCTAGAAGGCAAAAACCTTGTAAAGGTTGTTGCATGCTTCAGTGCTGTCATGCTTATAACTGATACGTGCTCCAACTCTTTTAAAAGTGTACTATATATGCTGTCTTAGTGCCTTCCACAGTTGAGCTATGATCCTAGCCAGCAATTGCTTGCATGTTAAAAGGAATTGCATATGGAAACAGGTGAATGATCTTTATAGTAAAATCTCTAGACAGAGCTAGTTCAAGGTTTATTGAAGGAGGGAGTATGTATTTGCAACCAGTTCTGAAACCAGCTAGTTTTATCTTAGATATCCTTGTAATACAGTGGCCTTCTTTAGTGGAATCACTGAGTTTAGCAGGTAAACTGCTGGAATAGAAGACATCAAAAACTGAATAGATTAGTAGTTCACATGCAAGTCCATGAAGAGTGTATAATGATGGCTTCTTATCAGGAAAATGAAGCTTATGCTTTTCCCAGGGAAGTGGTGGAATCACTGTCCCTGGAACTGTCCAAAAAAATATGTACCCTTAGTGCCATGGTTTAGTGATGGACTTGGCAGTCCTAGGGTAAAGGTTGGACTTGATGATCTTAAAGGCCTTTTCCAACTTAGTTGATTCTGTCGTTCTATGCCATGTCTCAGAGGTATTATAATTTTTATTTAGCTTTTTTTAATGATATGAGAACCCCACATGCCACATGCTGAGGAGTCACTGAAGACTATTTCAACTGGTGCATTGTTAGTTCTGTATCTGTCTATGGATGGATATATACTGTAACTATTAATTTAAATATAACTTAATGTTTTTAGTACTTTTATATCTGGCCTAAAATTAGGTCTATCAGCAGTGCACAAGTGTGAAAGCTGAAAAGTATTTCAATGTTTTCATTCTGACCAAGTAATGCCTTCGAGGTTATATGCTTGCATCTTGCTGTTTGATGCTTCTTGTGGTAGCATTGTGAAGTATTCATTCAAATAATGTTAATCAAAACCTGCTTTGCTGAACTGAATGCTGACTGGTGCTCGTGGTTGATATAAGTAGTGAAAAGTTTGTTTTAAATGATAGCTCTATGTTTATTTGTGCCTTAAGAGAAGTGCTTTTAGAAAAGGATTTAGAGGAATGTGGAGTAAGGTGAGGTTGCTACTCACTGTTGCTTTTTGTGCTCATGCAAGCAACAGAATGAACTTTATTCTGCTGTAATAATTTGCTTTATTCTGCAGTCTAACTGGGCTGTTCACATGTAAGTTTCCAAATATCTCTTGGCTACAGGGCAGATGTGATGATAAGATATTTATCCTCATGGCTTTACAGGCCTAATGCAAAGAAAGAGATTATAGAGATGGAAACTGATGCTCTGTAGGTGGGGAATTGGCATTTTAAGTTTAATAACCTCAGAGCTACTCAGGGCACATATGTAGAGATAACAAAGTCATCTGTTTTTGTCTTACCCTGGATAGTTGCCCAGAGCACCAAACAAAATTAGGAGGAAAAGCACCTCAGTGGTATGCCGATGGGTTGTGATAGTATGACTCTATTGCTGTGCAGTACTGTGGGTCTCCCTGGTAGAGTACTGATGAGCAAATGTGTGCAATTAACTGTGCTAGCAAAACAGGTTTCCAGTGAACCATATGACAATATTTGGTTACCTCATCCTCACATAAAAAGCCAGGAGTGGCTGGATTTAACTAGAGAAATGCAAGTAATGGGCAAGTTTTAAGAAGAAAGTGGTCATGCCAAAAAGCCTGCAATGCAGCTAAGCAATGAGATTGGCTTATGTGTTTAATTCCAGCTGGACAATCCCTGTCTTAAAAATAAGCCTTTCCCACTAAAGAAAATTTAAATCCTGTGACGCAGTTGTATTTGATGTTCTTGCATATGAATTGACCAGAAGGCTTGCACAGCCCTTAGACCAGTTAAGTCCTTAAGTTTAATTTAAATAGAGGTCTTCTCATATTCTTAAAAGCATTCTGCTAGATTGGAGCTTTCTGAGAAGATACTTGTTGCAGTTCTAGTTTAGATTGTCTTTTGGAGTGCAAATTGTCACTCAACAGAATATATTAATGAGAATATGTTGAAAAGGGACTTAATGAAAAGATTAGTTTTCAGCTTGTTTTTGCTGATCACAAGGACATGCAGTGATAGAACAAGGGGGAATGGCTTTAAACTGTAGGAAGGCAGACTTAGATTAGATGTTCAGAAGTTCTTCACTGTGGGGATGGTGAGGGGCACCGGTTGCCCAGAGAAGCTGGGCACCATCCCTGGAAATATTCAAAGCCAGGTTGGATGGGGCTTGGAGCAACCTTCTGTAGTGGAACGTGTCTCTGCCCATGGCAGGAGGTTGGAACTGGATGATCTTTAAGGTCCTTTCCAACCTAAACCATTCTGTGATTCTATATATGGGTTATTTTCCAACAAACATAGAGAGGCAAGATGCACAGTTTAGGCTGTCAACTGTTGCAGGCATTTTTTTTAAATGCTTTCCTTATTCTGTGCCTGAGCCTCACAGATGCTTTTATTATATGTCTTACTGGGGTACACTTTATAAGAGGGTAGATGTGAACTTTTTTCCTTGACTTCTTTTGTCTTCACCTTTGATATGACACTTTTTTTCTCATAAATAATCATAATTTACTCCAAGGATGGGGTTTTCTGATTCTGCACAGATCTGAAAAAAGCCTGTATAAAGCCGGATGATCTGAAGTCAGTTAATATTTTTGGAACCATCAAAAGTATTTTAAACCAATTTAGGCAGAAAGAAGTTAAATGGAGCCTTATACTGTTATAAAGAAACTGTCCACTATGTTTTTTGAGCAGTATGCATTTTCTGAACATTTTTATGTATAATCAGATGATATACAGGGTGCAGTACCCCTAGAATGGAAAGAGATTAATGAGAATAGAAACACTTACCTCTTCTTAAAATGCAGCTTGTGCCTTTTACCAGTCTCTGTAGAGATGATTTTGCTTTTTATGTAACTGAGTTCTTAAAGTGGTGCAAGAGAGCAGCTTGTCTGTCTGGCACAGAATTTAAAACCATCCTAAGGCAGCTTTGCAAGAAAACAGGCAGTATCTTAAAAAGTAAATCTCAATCCCCAAAACATTTGTCTTGTTACAGCAGCTCTAGTTCTGTATAGTAGGAAAGACATTGCTGCATCAGAATGAGCTCTCTTCTATATTCTTTTCCCAGTTTCTTTATATCCTGCCAGTCCGCCAGTTTGGCACAATTTGCGCCTTGGTACTCCTTTGTACTGCTATAAACCCTGGGAAATACTGTGACATGGCACAGTCATTTAATGGTGTGTTGTACCTAGCAGTTTTGAAGAGGAGAGCGTAGACAGCAAAAGCAAATATGGCTATGGGTGATTTCTAGCTGTCCCAGGAACTCCTTCCAATTTTAACAAATAGAGTTTCCTGAGGTGTGTTCTTTCCAGTGTGAAAGATCTTTTTAGGAACACTTTGTGAACATGTGGAATTCTGGAGGATATTGATATTGGTCTTTAAAGTGTCCAGTAGTTACCGCCACTGTGAAATGTGTACAGATTTTATTTGATATGAATTTGGAATTTTCTTTTCCCAAATAACTGCTGGCTGTTTAGCATGTTCTTCTTTAAGTTTATTCATTTATGATTGCAGTAATATTTGTTTTGGTCCGTGTTTTTTTTGGTCAGCCTATCTTCTGCAATTTCATATATTCAAGTGAATATATTCATATTATAACTTGCAAGCAGGTAATGTTATCTTCTTGTTTGCTGCAAGGAAAATATGTATTTATACATATATGTATATATATCCTAAGTACCATTAGGAAGCTTATTTTTTAGTGAAGTGTTCAAAGCTTACATGAACTTGTGTAAATGTTTTCAACAGGTTGTATCAGTCTGTAAAAATGCTGTACTCCTTTGGGATTTTTGTGACCTATTCAATTCAGTACTACGTCCCTGCGGAGATTCTCATTCCAGCTGTCACCTCCAAAGTGGAGCAGAAGTGGCAGTTACTCACTGAACTTGTGGTGAGAGTGCTGTTGGCCTGCTCAACCTGTAAGTATGTGCAGAACATATGTAAAATGTTTACTGTTACATGTTGTTGGGTCCCGCTTATTTAAATGAGTACATGTTTGGTTATTTATTTTTCTGGAGGCTAGTAAACCTGAAGTTTTGCTTCAATGATACAGTGTTTTGACTTTCACAAATGAATGAATCTAACCTTGTGTTTATATTTTGGTCTCACTTTCTTTAGTAGGTGTGACCAATTATTTGACAACCATCTCTTTTGCCAATAATACTCTAAAGCTGACACTTGAACATAATTTTCTTAAAATGAAAGGTTTTAAGTAATAGTCACACACTGCTGTTTCATGTCAGCATTTCTCTATGCAGTGCATACTGCTCATGGAGAAATCCTTTTTCTGCTTTGTTGGTGTCAGGATTAAGCCTAAAGCATCCTGCTCTGTACCCATAAAATAGTACTCACAAACATGGATGCCTGGTCATAGTGCTCAAGGAGGGCCACTTTAGGTGCTAATGCTCCAAAGTAGCTTTGTATTTCTGCTGTCACTGCCGGTTACTCATATTGTTTTGCTTGCTTGTCCCCTACTCTTCCCATCCCTCCTACTGTTTCCCAGCGTTTCTCACAGCTAGTCATAAATACTAGTAGGAAATAGTGGTGTGCATTGAACAGTGAGCATGGTCTCAACTAGTAATTGATATTCCTGAACTGAGGAGGAAGTTTAGGTTTGCCTTTACAGCTTTCATCTAAAGTGCTGAACAATATAGGAATCCTAGCTGTCAATTCAGTCTTTTTTTTTAGAGTGGTTTATACAAATTGCACGCATGCACTATCTGTAATACTTTTTCACCAACAACTGTGTTAAGTTCCTGTGCTTAAGCTCATCTTCTGTTTGTCATTTTTCAGTGAAGCACTTGTTTTGAACAGAATCGATTTAAATAGTGCTTCGCTTTAACTGAGTGCAGAACATGGTTCCTAACAGGATTCAGAAAGTGTTTCTCTAATAGAAAAAAAAAAGCCCAAACCTTTTAAGTTTTAAAAATGAAATGGTTTTGGTATCAGTGACAAAATCTGTTGTAATGGCTGGACCATTCAGGGGTCATACACTGATTAAAGGGACTCAGCTTGCTTGAAACTAATTGTCTGAAAAGGGAAACTTCAGCTGTGTTGCTAATAATGCGTTAGCTTTTTGAGAGAAGAGTTGAAAAGTCAATTATTACTATTTTTCAGAGCTTTTGTGTTACTCAAAAACTAGGTCATTGTATCATTGTAGCATGTTGGAAACTTTGCTGGGGAAAAGCATATCTGGAATGTTTTGTCTGTTTGTTTGTTTTTCTGGGGGCATGTTTGGTCTGTTAGGCTTATTTTAGGTAAGGACTTGACAAATGAGGACTTGCAGGAGGATGATCACAAGGTCAGTCTTGGCTCACTGAGCCATTCCCAAGAAAGCAGTTTCCAGGAGAATCCAGTTCAGTTTCAGGAGGATCCAAAATCAGAATCAGTTTATTCCAGGATAAATCCAGTTCTCTTGTATCATGGTATCATGCCATGATCACGACACTGCCACGAGTCATCATGACACTGCCAGGTCTCGCTTCCTCTTCCCTAGCTCCCAGTGCTGCTGCACTTCCTCTAGGTTAGCAGAATTCCTGTCTTCTTGTCACATTTCTTCCTTTGTAACCTTTGCTAGACCCCTCTGTCTTTGCTGGATTGAGATCAGATGCCACATTTTTGTTCTGCACAGTTCAGGTCTATTTCTGTTCACCTCTGTTTCTGTGAAGTACCGTTTTTCACTCTACCGGTTCCTGCCCATGATCTTGCTAATTGCATCCTCCTTGCCCTTTCAGCTCTCTGCCTCCAGTTTTGCTATTGTCGGAAAAGCCACTCAAATCTTGTTCTGTGTTTATCCACTGTTTATCCAGTATCCAGAAACCTGTTGGGTTTTATCGTTTCTACATTTAGTTTATTTTTTATCTTTATTTGTATGCCTTCCCCTTTATTTTATGCTTTATTTTTATTGTTGACATAATCATTGTAATATCAGACATGGTGCCAGAAGATTTTTAGTATAAATGCATGGAATCAGCCTTTATTATTATGTGACAAATAATAAATTTGACACAACATATTCCAGATCTGAAATCTAAGTGGTATGGCTAAGAGAGCTGTGATTATGTGGTTTATGTTTCTTTTAATTACTCCTATTTGCTAGCTACAGACTGTATTTCTTATTGGAATGTGGAGGCAAAATGATTCCAAGTACTTGCTGCAAAGTGCACCGCTGAGAAGTAAGAGCTTAATTTTAAGACCTGGTGCTTAGATGTATAGACTAGGCTAAAAGAATTTATTATTCAGTTCATTGTAAAAGGATACATTCTAAAAAGTGTGTAGAGCTTGATTTAAAATTTTGATCTTGTTTTGTTGACATTAAGAAATTATGTGTTTTGTGGAAATACCCAGTAGCGTTAATATGCAGCTCAGAGACCTGCACGAGTTTTGATTACAGAAGCACATATTCTAGATTGGTCACTGTTTTGGAAAAAAGGGTAATAATTTTGGATATCACTGTTTAATTTAAAGCCCTGTCTGTACAGTGAAGTAATTTTTAATATATATTTTCTTTTTAATAAATTCAATCCAAAATAACATTTAATAAGCTAGAAGGGAATTGTGAGGCAGCTAGCTGAGGCTAAGGAAAGGTTAAAGCATCATAAATGAAAACTAATATAAATCATGTTTGTGGCTCTATTGAGCTTGATATCTCAGATCTTAATTCTCACACAGCTTTGTAGCAAATAAACTGTGGAGTAGTGATAAATTAACCTGCCTCCTGAGGGTACAACTGTCTGATGTGGTATTATGAAGAATTGTGAATTGCTTGGCAACGTTAACATCTGTTCAGTGGAAGAAAAGGGACCAGGACACTTTGTGTTTTGGGTCGTGCTGGGCATCTTTCTATGAGTCAGTGTTTTAGAAATGGCTTCCTCCTTGCAGCTCTTTTCTAATTGCTAGAAGGAGTTGCCATCCCATGTAGCTCCAGTTTTGTCCACTTCAAAGTGGAGAGAAGGCTTGAAGTGTCAGGCACATCCATGTTGATTATGAAGATGAATCTAGTGTCTTATTACCCTTGCTGTTTTGTTTGTGTATTTCAAAATCTTCCTTTTTCTGTGTTGCATTTACAAAGTTTCAACTTTTAGCTACTATGATTGCTTTAGCTTTTGTCTGCTAGGCGTAAGGATTCTTTCTTACCACATTTTTTGTTCCACATGTTAATGCAAGCAGGCTGTAATTAATTTACAGTTGGTGTACTTTCTGTTAAACTGCATAGACTGAGTGTAGGAGGCATTTTCTGATACTTGTTTAAGATTTTTTTTTATGCAGAGTATAAAAGAATACTAACACACATACAGTCCCTTTCACATCTGCCAAAACTGAAACAGTTTTCAGTACAAACCAATAACTTACCTTTCTTTACTTACATTGTTTTATGTTTATGACCATGTTACTGCTTTTGGTTGTACTATCAGCCTCATGTTCACCTGGGTAGCTGCCATGGCTCTCAAGACGGTAAATCAAAGTCTTTTGCTCTAGATGAGGAGGAGCACTGAGTTAATGCACATCTCCCATAAACGTGGGTGAGAACTGTGCATCCCACCAGGTTCTCAGCAGGGAATGAGCCACTGCCTTATGCATGTAATTTTCCAGTTATAGTCTCAAATAATACCAGTTGTAAACACTTCTTAATTACTCATTGGTGCAAACAGCTTTTGTTGAACATCTGTTGGTGACAGTTGCTGAAAAGTATCATGTATGATTACTTATTTGTAGGACAAAAACTAATTACTCCTAAGTTCAAATGTGTTATTACTTGCTGAAAAGATTATCAGTCAGACTTATTGGTAACTTTTAATTTGGCCTGACTGTAGCTCTGCTGTATTGTTGTTTAACATCTACATCAAGTCTGTTTTGTCCTGTCAGTTGTTCCAGACTTGTTTGATGCTGCCCTGGAACCATGTAGATTAAGTATGACATCTCCGCTTTAATACATTCCAAAAAGAAAATTATTTGGTGAAGGCCTATTATACAGCTCAACTGTATGAGGTATTAGGGAAGAATAATAATGCTCTGTTTCAAAAAAATGGTATTTGTTTATTCTGATTTTGTTCCTTTTGTTTATGAGTCATTTAATAGTCCATACTGCGGAATATGAAGAAGATTATACACGGCTTGTTTGCGTGTCTTCAACTCTAGCTCTCTCCGTTAGCTTTTAAGATGTGAGTTAATAAAGGCTGTGCATTGTGACAGACTTCCAGGGTCTTCCTGGCAAGTGGATCTGTGTTAAGTTTTTATTTCTTTTGCATGTGTAGTCTGTCATCTCTGATTCTTTATAGACACTCTATTTACCATAACTACTTCTCATGTCCTTTAAGACTCAACCATACTTATTATGGTTGGGATTTTGAGACTGTAGATTTTCTACAGAATATATCCTTCATTTAGGGCATAGTATGAATAGGGCTTATTTAACAAACTGCAAATCACCCTTCAAATCTTGTCTGGAAATGGAATAATTTCCAAGGTTATTTTTCTTTACACTAGCTTTTAAATACACTGTAAACACAAATGTGTTTTCAGAATTTCTACAGGTAAACTAACAGGTAAGAGTTAGGATGGAAAATCTGAAGTTAGCTGTGTTCTTTCATTATAAAGTGCTCAATTTTAAACATTTAGAATACGATTCTTCAGAATAATTGGCATTACGTAGTGTAAGCCAGGTCTTCGTGTGGGTTCAAGGCAAATTCTGTTGCCATTAGGTGCATCTGCAAGTGTGCTGCTGCAATCTCCTCACTTCTGCAGTCTCCTCACTTTTCCCTTCAAGTGCATTTGTTGTGTTTGGTATGTAAGGTTCACATAGAGTTTATCATCTGTTGCATACATGCAAGACTTGTATGAATTAAGAATGAGCTTAAACTCACAGGGGGAGGATGGTGTGTAATCGTCTAGTTAGGTCCTCATGAGCCTTGTTACATTT